TAAAAAATAATACATGAGTATGTAGGGTTTTTATAGCTAATTGTCTATCTCTCAGACCGGAAATAGAATAAAAGGAAAAGTGGTCTGAGGATGAAACTATCCAATAAGAAAAAGAACAACTTATTGTATGACTTCAAGGATTAACCAGCAGGTGAGAAGATGTACTAATAATAGGTAGTGTCACACATGTTCAGGAACCCTATCCTCATGATGAGGTACGATCCTGACTAAAGTGTCTATTAATATTTCCAGGCACTGATGGGACTTGGAGCTAGTTGGCGAGATCTCAGCTACTAGTCCCCACCCATTGTGCTGGCTGGCTGGGAGTACTACCCAGTCTCTGATCTGCAATATCAAGTGGTAGTGATGGTTAAAAAAGCCTGTTAGGGCTATAAGAAGCAAAATGGCAAAGGATACCTCTAGCCCTAAAGCCAGAGGTGTAATAGGGAAAGTGTCTGAGAGTCAAGATATGGAACAAAAAGATATAAAAAAATAAGAAAATATAAATGGTCCTTACAATAACATCTGAATCTATCCAGACCACCAAAGAGTTCAAAGACGAGCTCTTGCACCATTACAAAGTATGAGATTTGGGAGAGATCAAATGGTTACTAGGATTCAAGATAGACTATAAATGAGAATTCTGCATCATCTCCATATTGCAAACAACATATATTAATGCTATGGTCAAACATTTTGGACTCAATGAGGAAAAACCAGTAGCCACTCCATTAGAACCTAGGCTAATGCTCGGAAACAACCAATCACCAGCCACACCTAAACAATATGATGAGATGTGCAACATCCCATATCAAGAGGCTGTAGGTTGTCTTACATGGATAGCACTCGGGTCGCGCACAGATATAGCCTTTGCTATAAATATTCTAGCTCAGTTCAATCAGAATCCAGGTAAATTTCACTGGGAATCAGTGAAATGAGTCATTTGGTACCTCAAAGGAACTCATGAGCTGACTCTCATTTCTGGACATGTGTTATTCTTTGCAGACCTCCCTATTTTTTGGGGTGCAAAGAAACAATCTATAATTGCCCTTTTGAGCACCAAAGCTGAATACATAGCAGCCACCCACACTATCAAAGACATATTCTGGCTACAAAGCCTCATCAGTGAAATTTGATCACCCATAGACAAAATTACAGTACTCTACTGTGACAACCTGAGTGCAATAGCACTATCAAAGAACAACAAATTCCACCCTTGAACAAAGCACATTGATATTTGTTATCACTTCATCCAAGAAGCTGTAGAGAATGATCAAATCACTTTATTATTTTGTCCTACAGATGAGATGATAGCTGATTTATTCACTAAAGCTCTACCTAGAATCAAGCATGAGAAATGTGTCGACATGATTGGACTATGCTATGATTGAAGGGGAGTGTTGGAGATATAGCAATCATCTACATAGACTTAGAATAATATTTCCGACTCTACGCTTACTAATAACACAGCCACAGCTTTGCCATGTCCGTTGCATCACAGCTCTGACTACCTCAGCTATTTGAGACAGTAAGAACTGTGAGTACAGATATTATAATCCCACATCATCTACAATACTAATGCTTCTGTAGATATCTTATTATTTCTTAGACTGCCAGTTCACAAGAAGGTGGTGGTTGCACACTTAAAGTGTGGAAAAGTAGAGTTCCTGGTCTTTTGGAAGGGCTATGAAGACAAGGACAGAATGTGGGAACTAGAAGCCTATCTGGACAATTCCTGCAATGCCGTTCACAAATTTTATTCTAAGAATCCTCAGCTCTTAGAAAGCTTAGAGCCATAGATTCAAAACTTTTTAATTATCTTTTTCAACCAATGCCCAAGAATCTGACTACTACCCACAGAATTTTATCTCACCTGGAAGTCAAACCATAGAAGGGGGGTAGTGTTAGAGTAACACAATTCTCAGGCACATCATTTTCAATCTTCTATTTGAACTTTTATTCTCTTTTAGACATCTATGCCAAGCAGCACTTTCCTCTTTATTTCAAACTCCACTTATACTTTCACTTCCTTGTGCTACACAGTTTTTTTATATTTCTAGTTACAACTATAACATGTGGTGTGACATCATTAGTCATTTACATTTATCAACTGTATAGTATATAAAATAGTCTGTAGTATAAGTACCCCAATAGATCAAGGAGACTCCTCATTGAGTCCTCCTGTTGTCTACCAAGAACTAAGTTGGTCCTATCCTAAGGGGCTTGTCCACTCCTACATTCACCTTCTCTGCTTCTTGTTGTTGTGTGCCAGAATATAAAAACTTTGTTTGTTACAAATATCAACTCCAATTTAAAAACTAACCCATTCACCCCTGAGCAAGTCCAGCATCCTCAAGTCCGTGCCACCCCATCCCTGCCTCCATCTCCCAATGGCTGCAAGGCTTGCCCACCTGCTCAATGAGACACAGTTTTGGTGAGGTTAAGAGGTGAGCCTCAAGTGTATGGTCATATCTTTGTTCCAGATCTTGCAGGTGAGTCTTTGGGCTTAATTATTTGAACTATTTGCTGATATTTTGCAACCTAAATAATTGGGTCTGTGAGTTGTGCAAGTCTGTATTTTTCCAGCCAGATCAAAACCTCAAGATATTACAATTGAGGCTTCAACATGATCATAATTCAACTCTTGTAGCTATTGCCACTATTAGTTCCTATCTCCTATTGTTCCCAGGGATTATAGATAAAAGATCCTTCCCTAAAACTGAGGATTGTTGTCAGGATCAAAGATGTAGTTGCTCAGAGGACAGGGCTGACACTCCCTTCATGATAGTAGCAAGGAAATATAGAGTAAATTCAACTTGTCCTATCATACTGTTATACATGGGGTTTATATACTAAATAGGTAGTGAATCTAGGTTCCTCTTCAAGCTGTGTTTGTATATAAGAGCCAATAGCATAAAGACCTCCAGGGTCAAGGACAATGAGGTATTGTCTAATAGGAATATCCTAGAAAAGTAGTAAAATAAATTAGGGGCATATGACCATAATATAACTACAAGGAGTATCCTTGTAAGAACTGTGATTAGCTGGTATAGGCTATGGCTGTGTGTCCAAGAAGGGAATGGAAAGATAAGATAATAGTACAAGAGTTGAAAGATAAGAGACAAGGTGGGAAGATATAATGTGTGAAAATACAATAGTGATAGGTGATAATTACTGGATAAGGAAATGTAGTCTGATAAATGAAAAGGAAAATGTTGAAGGAAAACAAGAGGCCGTAGGAATCCGTAACACAAGATGTGTGTTATTTTTTGGTCAACTCGGCCCCATTATTGTAATGCCAGTGTCATTCCACTGAGTAATATTGTATGCCCATGTTACCTTATCCCCTAAACGGGTGCAAGGGTCCTCACTGGCTGGTCAAACAACAATATTCTCAAGCAAGCAAAGATTTTAATTTTGAACCATTTTATAGACTTAGTATTTTTTTGCAGATTTGAAGGCTTGCTTGTTGGTACTTAGTGTGATGTAGACTACAGTAGACACTACTGTCATAATCCTACCCAATACCTACTGATATTATTTCAATACATACTGATATTTCTCAAAACAATCAAGTCAAACATCTTATTTCTCCTTATCTAATCACTTGATCTTATCTATGTATTTTGACTCAATCACGTGACCTTAAGTCACATAATTACTTACCAAGCACCATGCTGCAGTTTCATGGACATCAGTCAGTGCCTCAAGGTTGATACATGTCAATATATATATAAGTAGCTACTGTACTTCTGCATGTACATACTTCAGCTTTTGATTTCATCTATATACCTTTGTCTTAAACCACCTGCTTGAGATTGACAAGTTATACCTCCGTTAACTCGGTAAAGGGTATAGGTTGTTATATAATCAAAAGCTCATAACAAGGCACCTGGTGAATGATAGAAACAAAGGCTATCCTAATCATCACACTATTTCCCGCCATCGCCTTCACCCTATTCATCATACTAAACCTTTACTTCATACTCACTTGTCCCAACACCTCATCCTCACCTACCAACACCATCACCACTTTTATCCAAAACACTCCATCTTTGTCTTTTGAGACAATTCCCCTTTCACCTATCATCTGCCCTCACAACCCAGTACTTAGAGATTGTGATGACATGCAATTGTTGCAATTTTATTAGTTACATTTTTTACATACCTTTCTATTTTGTATACCCCTTACCAGGCCGCGCACTTGCATCCGCCAGTTGGGGAGGAACTGAGAGTTTAATAAGCCAGTTAAATCTGGACAACTGTCAGGACCCAGACTTAGTACTATACTTTTTACCGATAGCTTTTTGAACACCTTTACATACACAGTAGTAGGGGACAGAAGAGGACCCCTTTACCAAAAAAAAGAAACAATAGAGAAAAGGAACTTGCTATACAACGTGTAGATCCAATCTTATCAATTGGGGAACCATATATTGCTTGCTTTTTGCATTTGTAAAACAAGAATACTTCACACCAGAACTCTCCTTTGACAATGTTGTGCAACCCTTGGAGGGAAGCAAACCCACACATACTACCATTGACACCAGGACTGGGAATGCAAGACATAGTAGACGCATTACCAGTTACTATACAAAGAGAATCATTGCCAACGCCAGAATCCTGGAAAATGGAAAATTTGGAGATGATGATAAGAATGGCTGAAAATTTGGCAATACAAGACAACAACACAAAATGTGAACGGAGGTTCCTACAAAGAGATGCAGAAGTTGCCAGCTTGTGAAGAAGGCTTGCCGTGCAGCAGCAGCAGATGGCCCGGCCCATAGAACAAGGAGCAGGGTATCAAAAGACCGCATTGGCTAAACTGGAGCCATATGACGGAAAAAAAGAAGTTCTGGAACTTCTTTGAATCCCTACAGCTTTACTTTGGGGTTTATCCGGAATATTTTGCAATAGAAGCAAACAAGATTAACTCCGCGTTATCTTACATGACAAGTGGAGTGGCAGCTGCCCTGAAAACGGAATAGGTAGACAGAGAAATGTTGGCAGATGAAAGGACAGATATCGAGGAAGGAGAGCTACTGGAAAGTTGGGCCCATTTTGAGTCCATGCTCAAAGAGCACTTCCAAGATACATTCAAAGAAGAAAGAGCCAAGTACGAGATAATGTACTTGACACAAGGAACTCTCACAGCACAAGAGTATTTTGTTAAATTCAAAGCAACACGAAGACGTGCAGGATACAATATAAAAAGGAATGAACAATTCCTAATTACGTTAATCAGAAACAATATCAACGGACCCCTGATAAAACAAATCATTTACTCAGGGAACATCCCGAAAACATATGTCAAATAGAAGACAAGAATAGTGACGGATGATCAGCTCTGGCGTTGTCTTGTTGATAAAGTGTTTGATATGGGATAGCTACCAAAGCTTCTTTATCCTAGGGTTACCGGAAGTTTACAACCTAAGCTGGACAACAGGTAATAACCTAGTTTGTTTGTGGGGTGGAAGTTAATTATCCCTTTTGTTGTGAGTATGTCAATAGTCCTTGTGCTCTGGAAGACTGATATGACAATGGTAGATATGTCCTTGGTGATATAAAGGACAAGTTACCGTATGTGAATAAAAGTGTGAGGGTACATGTGAGTTTGAAGTCTTATGTGACTAGCTTTAAGATATAGCCAACACTAGGTGTGATAATGATAGTTCTTGCTTGTTGAGAGACTAATAGAATAAAGATAATAGTGTCCTACACTTGATAAAGGACAAGCTATGATACACTGATGGTCGATAGAAGGGTGAAGCAATACTCGACTATGCTTCAGTGACTGACTGCAGATGAGCTTACACCAGATCACACTTCAGTCACCCCTCTGGGACATACCTCTTAGCTTCATATATATTTATATACCTATGTACCTAAAAGGTCATAATATGCCGGTCTTCCCCGGTCTATCATAATTACTGGGGATGTCCCTTGGGCCAACTACTCTCTTGTCCCAGAGACAACTGCTCTGTGATCCCAGGGACAACCACACTATTATCCCCATAATATTTTAGATATTGTCCTATCTACTCAAACTCAATTCCCAGATATGACTCAGAATCCTGGTAGCTACCAAGTATCCTTGAGTATTGTCTCAAAAATATCTCTATAATTCTGGTACTTGCCATGAAACCCCCGCTTTTTTGTTTATATGTATAGTTTCTTGGGGTTTTGGTCTACTTAATATAAACTCAACTGCAAAGGGCCCAATCTATTTCTAAATATTGATTTTATTCACAGGTGCAGGTGGTGGGTCTTTCAGACCATTTCCCTTCTACAGAAGAGTCTCATCTGAAAGACTACTGCTGGCATTGAGAAGTGCTACCAGAGGTACAAAGACTATGGTCCCAAGAAGCTGAAAAAGGTAGAGTGAGACAAGTCCCTATAATTCTGGTTGTCATCTCAAAGGATGTCTATATCAATCCCTGGGAAAGTCCCTATTTGTTAGGGACTTCTGAAAGAATATTCCCAGTTTCACAGGTGTTAGTAAAATGGATATCTGTACATCTCTGGGACTTCCCATGGGATATCCCCATATTCTCATATTTTATCCCAGTGGGTGTCCCCATTTTCCCAAATATTATCCCAGGGGATGTTTCCATCATCCCAAGTGTTGGTACATGGGATGTCCCTATCTTCCCAAATGCTATCCCTGGTGATGTCCCCATTTTCCCAAATGTTAGTATATGAGATATCCCCATCTTCCCAAGAGCTATCCCTGGGGATGTCCCTGCCTTCCCAAATTATATCCCAGGGGATGTCTCTATCTTCCCCAAATTTATCCTAGGGATGTCCCCATCTTCTCAAATATTATCCCCAGGGATGTCCCCATATTCCCAAATATTATTCCCAGGGGTGTCTCCATCTTCCTGGATGTTATCCCCAGGGATATCCCTATCTTCCCCAAATTTATCCCAGGGATGTCCCTGTATGCTTGGGACTTCCCCAGGGACTTCCTTATCTTCCCAAAAATTATCCCAAGGGATGTCCCCATATTGCCAGTTTCTATCTCATGGGATATCCCTATCTTCCTGAGTGTTAGTACAGGGGATGTCCCCATGTTCCCAAATATTATCTCCAGAGATGTCTCTATGTGTCTGGTACTTCCCTAGGGATATCCCCATTTTTCTGTGAGTAAGTATAAGGGATGTCCCTGTTTTCACAAATGTTACCCCAGGGGATGTCCCAATATGTCTGTGATTTCCTGGGGATATCCCCATCTTCCCAAATAATATTCTAGGGGATGTCTGTATATGTCTGGGGCTTTCAAAATCTATCCCAAGGGACATATGTCTCTGTTTTCCCAAATTCTATCCCAAGGGATATCCCCACCATCCCAAGTGTTAGTTAGTACAAGAAATATCTAATAAATCTATGTGAAACTCAGCTGCTGCCCAAGAGGCTATAGAAACGATCGAGGTATTTCTATACTAAGTTCCCTACTACTTATAGTCGGAGGTGCTACTCGCTACAGTATAATGACTCCTAGGAGTACAATTGTGCTCCTAGGAGAACAATGGTGACTCCATGGAGTGGTGGCTATGCTCCATGGAGAACAATGGCTGCTTCGGCAGAGACCGGGTTTATCCAGTTTTGTCACTCCCACTCGAGTACAACCGTAGTCCCATAGCTTTAGAGAATTTCCAGTGTTTTTCATGAGTGAGGGGTTTAGTGAGAATGTCTGCAACCATATCTTCTGTAGGAACGTATCTGATTACTGCCTCTCCCTTTGATACTAAGTCATCTCGGATAAAATGATATTTCCGTTGAATGTGTTTTGTGCGAGCATGGAACTGTGGATCTCATGCAAGAATAATGGCTGCTTGATTGTCACAGTGCAATGTTGTAGGTCCATTTTGAGCATGTCCAATTTCTTCAAAAAATGTCCAAAGCCATGTAAGGTGTTGTCCAGCATTGCTCAATCCAATGTATTCTGACTCTGTGGAGGATAAAGCTACCATGCTTTGTCTTTTGCTTGTCCAGGAAATTGCTCCTCGGATGGTGATAAAAACAAAGCCTGATATTGATTGAGACGTGTCTGGGTCTCCAGACCAATCTGCATCTGAATATCCATAGAAATCCATGTCCATGGAGACATCTGTGCCATCATATTGTAGTTCCATGTCCTTGGTTGCTTTCAGATATCGGAGAACACGTTTTGCAGCTTCCCAGTGATGGCTCCTTGGAGCTGAGCTATGTCTGCTTAGTATTCCAACAACGTAGGCATTGTCTGGGTGGGTTCCGAGCATGGCATACATGAGGGAGCTTACAATTGAGAGGTATGACACTTGGCGCCCTTCAATATGCATCTCGTGTTGCACAATATCTTCCCCTGGAGCATTTGCGAGGAGTTTTGATCCATGGGCCATTGGTGTCCATACAGGTTTGCAGTTCTTCATTCCAGTACGCTCCAGGACTGTGTCAATGTATTGGCGTTGCAATAGGGATATTGTTTTGTTTGAACGATCACGTTGGATTTCTATTCTGAGGATGTATTTTGCTTCTCCAAGATCCCGCATTTAGAATATGGATTCAAGTTTGGCTTTTGTGATATTTTTGAATTTTTGGGATGAAGCTCCTAGGAGGAGGTCATCTACATAGACAACAACAAAGCATATTTGTTTGTTGTCCCGGAATACATAGAGACATGTTTCTGCATTTAGTCTTGTGAAACCAAGCTCCTGGAGCTTGCGATCAAAAGTTTTGTTCCATGTACGACCAGCTTGTTTTAACCCGTAGATGGATTCCTTCAATCTCCAGCAGTATCCAGGTTGGATAGGAACACCCCCTGGAGGAAGCATGTATAGTTCTTCTTCAAGTTCTCCATTGAGATAAGCTGTGGATAAGTCCATTTGATCAAGTTCTAGGTTGTACTTTGCTGCCAGGGCTAGAATAATTCGGATTGACTCTAAGTTTGCAACCGGAGCAAAAACCTCCTGGTAATCAATCCCCTCCCTTTGAGTAAAACCTCGTGCAACAATCCGGAGTTTGTATCTCTCAATGTTTCTGTTTTGATCAAACTTGATCCGGAACACAAGTTTTGATGTGATGGGTTTCACCCCCTTCGGAAGTGGAACAGTGTCATATACTGCATTAGTATTGAGACTTAGGAGTTCCTCCTCCAAGGCAGACTTCCATAATTCTCCATCCAGACATGATAAGGCTTCCTTTAGTGTCCTTGGAAGGTCTGTGTTAGATGGACCGGTACTTGCTATTCCAGCAAAGAATGTCTCCTCTGTATCAGATGTTTCTTCATGAACCTCAGGAGTGTTAGGTTTCTCCATGGAGTTGTCATGCTGCTCTTTTTGAGACTGTTCCTCATCTAGAGTCCTTTGATAATCTCGGTTTTTGTCTGCAGGACAGGTCTGGCGACTGCTTCTGCGTACTCCTAGGACTTTAGCAGGCATGACTGCTCTTTTAGGAGCTTGTGCAGGTACTCCAGGGAGTAGACACATTTGTATGTGTGTTGCCCCACTCACTCCTGAAGGTGTTGAATCACTCCTCAGAGGCATTGGATGACTCCTCGGAGGTGTTGTATGCCTTCCAGAAGCTGATCCAATGGACAGGTTGTCTAGCTGTATTCAGCCTTCTTCCACATCAGCTGGCTGTACATTGATGGGCTGTCCTCCCACTGACTGTGACTCTACTTTGGCTTTCCGTTCTGAAGATGGCCAGTGTTCAGGTCTTGGTTGTAGAGACTGTTGTGGAGGGTGTCTTAGCTGATCAGGTGCTCCCACTGCTCTCGGAACATCTTCATGCTGATATGGTTCCATTGCTTGTGGAACATCTCCTTGGAGATGTGGTTCCATTTGCAATTCATTTGGATCTCGGATCCGAGGGTCAGGATCATCCTCCTCCAATGTTTTTTGGTCTGGATAGTGAGCATTCTCTGGAATGAGTCCCTCCCACTGATCTGTGCTAGTGTCTGTGTTCCAGGGAGCAGTGTTGTCCTTTTGTACCTTCCGGATTCATTGAATATGACATGCCGACTGGAAAACACAGTTCGTTTTTCAGTGTCTAGGAGTTTGTAGGCTTGCTTTCCATGTGTGTAGCCAATCATTATGGCTTTGCACCCCTTGGAGTAAAACTTCCCTTGCCTTTTGTCTTTCAGAATCAAGGCATATGCTTGGCATCCCAAAGGGCAAAACAAAGTTGGATCAACTCTCCTTTTAAACAGTATTTCATATGGGGTCTTTCCATGGAGTCCTGATGCTGGGCTGCATGCTGTGATATATGCAACTGTTTGCATGGCATCTACCCAAAATGACTTTGGGAGCTTGGAATCATGGAGCATAGTGGTTGCTCA